CAGGATTTCTCTGTGTGGCTTTGCACCTTTCCTGGAACTCGCTTGGTAGCCCAGGCTGGCCTCGAACTCACAGAGATCTGCCTGGCTCTGCCTCCCAAGTGCTGGGATTAAAGGTGTGTACCACCATCGCCTGGCTCAGCCTTAATATTATACATCCCAAGGGCTCAGGAGAGAAAACTACAAACGGCAAGGACCATTTTTAGGAAATAGAATCTCAGTACACTGAGCTCTTAGTCTAGTCATTTATTCTTCCAAATCTTCTTCTTCGTCTCCTGTGCCTTGGGAGTCCCGGTATATATACACTTACAAGAAGTAATCCCTTGGCAGTGCAAAGCCAGGCTTCCAGGGTCAAACGGAGGGGTGATAAGAATCACATAGAGGGGCAGTAATTGTTAATTATCATTTGCAATCCAAAAGGGAAGTGACTAATGGGGAAATGAATTAACTAAAGGCTAAATTTGGGTAATGTCTAAGAAGAGGGATCTTATGTGCTCAGCTATAACCTTAAATGTGATTGGTAGAAAATGTTAAGAATCTATAAGTTGTTTGGTTAATGGGAGAAAATAAAACTGCCTTCTTTTTTCCTGTGGCTCCTATCTGTCCAAGTTATCTGCGTTTTTCTGCAAGGTGGGGGAAAGTGTGCTCAGTCGCTAGGCAACCTGTGAACAGCTAGATGCCTCTGGTGATAGTTAAGGGAGATCTGGAATTAGAGGTAAGATTTGGGAAAGGAGGAAGTTAAGCTTAATTGGCACATCTGCCAGGCCTTCTCAAACAGGTAGTCTGGACACTTAAGTCTGTTCTTAGAGAGTACAGAGGTATCTCTGATAAGGTACATTCCTCTGTCTAGGGATGGACCTGGCCGGATGCTGTCAATGACGATAATTACAGGGAGGCTTGAACTGGGATTCTGGCTGAACATAGCTGTCAGTGCAAAAGGTTATCTAAATATTCCTAGAAGTGGTTAGGTAAGGAGTTAAAGGTCTATAAAGTTAGTAAGGCTGTAAGAACGGAGAGTCTGAGCTAAATTGTGCAAAGCTATTACTTAAGGTCTACCTGACCTAGGCAGTGTCTCCTTGTGGAATTTACCTTAAGTCAGGAGACTAGCATGTGTTGGTTTGGACTGTTATTCCTGCTAGTCCTTGAATGTGGCTAAGAGAGATATCTGATTCCAGTGCTGAAAGGGGAGAAACTGATGGTCTGGGGGAAGGAAGCCTTTCCTGAAGCTTGAATGGATATGCCCAAAGAGTAATCAGTCCACACGGTTAGCAACAATTAGGGAAAAATCATTTGGGAAAACTATGAAGGCACACATGATTTTCATAACAGAAGACAGCTGATCTATAACAAGCCAAATAACACCAAATGCTCCGTGGAATTTGGCTTCCTCTGAAGGAATTCCTTGACCCCTTCAGGTAGTGGCTTTTCCATAACCAGCTGAGTTCTTATAATACATTCCTGTGGCCCCTAGCAATCTTTCCCACTTTGAATAGGGCTGTAGTGAACTAAGGAGGGGTCGGTATCTCTCTGACAGCCTGATTTCAGTCAAGCCTTTTGGATAAATAGCCCGAAGTGTTGGATCCCATGGGAGTTCTGTTTTTCATTTGTGCCGTACGTCACACTGTTTGCTTTCCTACTTGCAATGTACGGATTGCCGTTTCTCCATACCCTCTCTTGACTCTCTACATCCTTCCCTGAGCCTCTCTGCTTTCTGGGGCACAGTATCCCAGCAGCTTGGCAGAGAAGGATCTTCCAAGTCACTGCTACCACAGGCCTGAGCATCAGTTCTCTGTATGTTCCTGCCTGCCGGCTGCATCCTGGCTTCACACAGAATAAGAATGTGCGATTAGAGAGAGTGAGAATTCGCAGCCAGCAAGAACCCCTCAAAAAGGGAAAAGGCTTTGTCACCAAAGGAGTTAATGAGTGCTTCTCCACAGGAAGCCCTAAAGAAATGAGTGTTCTGAGTGTAGAACATTCGCTTTACAGTAGGTGGTGTTATTGTTACATGCTCGTACAGACAGTGCTAATTAACAATCCTAAAGGCCACATCATTAAATTACCCTCGGCTTAAAGCCCTGCAATGTTTAACACATCCCAGCAATTCAATTATATCCAAGACACTAGCCTGAATGTCAGGTACTCTTCTGTGGCCAGCGAAGTGCAGGCAGCTCTCAGAGGCAGATGAACCTTAGGAGAGAACCGCGCTGGCAAGCCCCCACCCGACATATTTGCTTGATGGAAAGCAACAATAAATTGCACAGAAAATTTTGAAGTGAAACGTGGACCATAACAGTTCTACATGTAAAAACAGAAAGACTTGGACAAGATCTTTAAAATCTGATGAAGAATCAGCTCCTTGCCCTCCCATCTGCGGAAGGTCCACTTTCTCTGTTTTCCCTGAGCCCTCCTGCCTCCCTTGTGATTTCTGACCGCAGCACACTGTGTCTGGGGGTTGAACTTGGACAAGTCTGTAGCTCGTGGCTGGGCTTTCCCACCATAGAGCACCCTACAGAGCACACAAAGCTGCTCTCTTCCTTGCCCTAGGAAGAAGTTCATGTGCAGAGCAGAAAGGGCTTCCTCCAGGCAAACACACACACACACACACACACACACACACACACACACACACACACACACACACACACACACAGGGGGGAGTGGAGGTGGGGCAGGCTCAACCTGATCTGAACTTTCCTATGCAGAAGCAATCCCGTGCATAGGTTCAGGGCATCTCAGCATGCCAAGTGGCCTCAGTTGGCAGGCGACACCGTAACAGAACCTCCAGCTTGGAAGGTGCCAGTGAGGAGACTGCATGCGGGAGAGGCACATATGTGGTTCCACCGGTTACCACACAAAGAGACAGTGCCAGTGGCCAGCTGGCCAGCTGGGTACTCATCTGCAGGCACAGAAGCATGAGTGAGGACAGCCTGCCTGAGCTTCCCTGAACTGTCTTCCTCAGTCCCCGTCCCTGAGAAGAACATTTCTTCATTCCCCCTTACTGCAGCACCACCCCCACAGTGTCCCTCTGGAAGGCCCCCACTCAAATCCATGGGGTCAAGCAAATATGAATCTACTTATCATGTTCTGTTACACAGAACACATCCCAATAAAGGTTTATGGATAGTATGAGAACTGGACAGAAGCTGAGGGACAGACGGATAGATGACAGATAAATGGACAGACGAGTGCATGAAAGAATAAAGCACAGCAATATGTTCTGCATTCTCTCTATGGCAACTGAGTCCTCTCCTGAATGCACCAAGCTGCACTCTAGCTCTCCAGAAAGAGGAAGACAGGGGCAGCCACCCATCTCTCTCTAAGACAGGCAGCACTATCCAGTCACAACAATCTTGCCACAGACCCAAGAAAACGTCCTTTAGTTTCCCCGGGTAAGGTCCAGACCGGCACTGCCAGCCACCAACCAAGCTGCTGTCTGTGGGCTTTGCAATCTCTCAGACCACTGGCTGAGAGCCTATCTCCATCTACCATGACGTCTTGCAAAGCCACTGGTGCTCAGGGAGTTCCAGCACAAGCTTTCGGCATTTCCCTGTGGAGAATAATAACAGAACTGACTTCATGGGCTTGCTGTGCAGATTAATGTTTACCAAGCCCCTGACAGGCTCCAAATCAATGGCTGTATCTGGAGACTGTCTATAGATTGGCAAGTCCCTTATTTGCATAAAGACATTTTGTCATTGCTCAGAAATGTATTGCTCAGTTGCATCACTCCCAAAAGGATGGCAGGGAAGAGCCAGCGCCCAACACTACACCTGGAGGGAGTGCCACGGGAGCAGATCACAGATGGGTTGGCTGAAGCCTTATAATCTCTGGTGTAGCTGGCTTTCAATGACGTCAGCAGACACTGCAGAGAGGCAGGACTTAAAGAGAGCAGGCAGAGATATGAGGAGGTGTGGCTTATAGCTAAAGCCTTGCCTGCCCCAAGTAGCGGAACATGAAGCTGCCCATCCCCATGAGATGAGATTTCCTCTGGGAGATAAAGTCACTCAGTGCCACAGATGCTGACATCCCTTCCACCTCCACCCTGTGACACTGTCCTCTCTCTGAGTCTTGGTTTACTTCGTCTTGCGCCCTCACTTGAAGCCAGCCTAATCATCCCTACTGACAGTAAGGCCCCTCTCTTCTGAGGACCCTTAGCACTTGTGTGTGCTACACACCTGCAGATTTGCCCATGCTGGCCCTTATAATAGGATAATAACAAACACTAAAATCATACTCAATGTACGAGGAGAGATTGTTTGAAGCAACACACCTGCACACACATAGCCAATTAACTCGTACAACAACATCCCTTTAACTATGAAGCAGGTGACATCAAAACTCCCATTTAACAGATAAAAAACTGATGCAGAGGATTTAATTAGCATGCTCAAGGTCAAACCACTTTAAATGCATAAGGCAGTAAGAGCTTGCCTCATTATTTATCATCTCATTTCTCTCTCCAGCACAGGGGTGGTGCTGCCCAGAACACAGAGGCTGCACACTATGGCGCTAAGAGCCTGACTACATTTGACCCCCAGCTCTATGTAACTATTATATTCCTCCACCTTCCCACACATAACATGAGAATGCTAAGTGCATACCCCCGCATTCGGTTGTTGTGAGAATTAAATGGATCATTCTATGTACACATTCAATGCATTTCTCATAAGCACTGTGTACACACACCTGGCTTCTGTGAACAAGAAACTGAACTCTTCTTCTCTACACCACATGCTTCAACCACAGGAAGTGCTCTGTGTCCATGATTTTTTTTTCCATGACTAGTGAAGAATGTGGGAGTAGAAATAAAAGAGTCCCATTCCAACGCCGACGAACACCGTAACACAAAGTATTACTTCTAAGTCTTGGCCTTCTCGGTTAATAAGCCGGGAATCCCACATGCTGCCCTGGGAATCCGATCCAATCAGTGTCATGAAAACAGTGAGGACCATTATTAGGAAACCAGAAGGGACCATCCTGAATTTTACCCTGGATGACAATACCTCATGAGGATCTCTGGAGGCCTCTGCTCAAGGCTTTTTCGCCTTCTTCACAAGCTGATTGTAGAATTCTTGTAGAACAATGATCTCACAAAGCAGGTTGCACAGGAGCCCTCCTGTTCTTCTCAAGCTGGAGAAGCCACTGTCCTGCGACAGAGTGGCCTAAGTCAGCATGCGAGGGCACAGGTGTTTGTTCCACGGCTTCCACCAGCTTTCCCCTGCAGTAACACTCAAGTGCCCATCCAGTCTGCTGAGAGGTAGAAAATGATGTGACAAGTCAGACACTAGACCAGATGAGCCATTTATTTAATTGTTACTTCTCTTTGTAGTTGGACACACCACTTAGATGTTTCATGACCTTTTTAATTTCTTCCAGAACCACCCAGGACTTTTCTAAGGATTAGAGACCCAAAAGAGCTTCTGGCACATAAGAAGTGTCCGGTGAATTTCACGAATTACTGTTACTGTCTCCCTCTTTGCAAATGTCCGTTGTACCTCATTTCATCCTGAATACAGGGAACCCAGAGCCCACGGCAGGGAACTCATGGTCTGAACTTTTCTTGACATCTTCTAACACACACCTCTTTGTCCTCTACCTGACACCCAGTGCCTGCTGAGACATGTGCCTCTTAATGTGACATTTGCTGAAAGATGCTTACTAGGACAGCTCATAAAGACTTAAACTGCAATCCCTCATCTCTTTACCTCTGACCCCTTGTTTTCTCTTCATAAAGTAGGACCTCATGGGCTTTCGTGATAACTAAGGCATGGCATATCCCTGTATATTCATTAGCAATTGATTGATGCCTAACAAATTATCCCAAAAATGTTATTTATAATGGCAACCATTCTTTAGGTTCACAATTCTATGGTCTGGGCCCTCTAGACCTGAGTGCGTATCTCATACAGTATCACTCCCCCCAGTATTCAAATGATAAAAAAAATCATAAAGCGAGCACAGATTTGAAGGAAGTGGATCCCACCTCCTGATGAGAGTCATTTTGAATTGTTGTAGCATAATAATATTTTTTTATTCTGCCATGAGTGATAAATAAAAACATCTCTACAAAGTAATTTTAAGTTTCTATCAAATTTCTAGTTCAGAAATTATTGCAAGACCTGTTACATACAATGAGAAATAAATGTGATGAGCTTTTACTATGTGCCCACTCTGCTGGGTACTGGAGAGAAAGAAGGAGTTCACATCATATTATGGCAACATTTCTGCCCTCAAGGTACTTGTAAGCAAAGCAGGGAACGACACAGGAACAAAGGCATACTTAAGACCTTGTGAAATATCAGCATACGGAACAGAGTAGCTTTCACGGGGCAGATACAGTTGATCATTGACTATGCTCTGTTCGCAGTGGCTTCTAACTCAGAACAGAGCTGCAGAATGGGCAGGCTGTCGTACTTGGGGAAGGCCGACCAAAGGAGGGAAGGTTTTAGATGGGTCTGGAAACTTGGCAAAGTTGATCCAAAGCACCACTGTGAATGAATGACTCCTTAGTAGCCACTTTGTACCCAGCCTCCCTTCCTGGGATCTTTGTTTCAAAAGACTCCCAATAGCCACAAAGTACACGACAAAACTCTGTTTCCAGCATTGTCTGTGGGAAAGGAGGAGATCCTCATCTTTGAACCCATTTGTACAAAGGGAAAACATCTCTTTTACTATGATACAACGGAAAGACTGCAGGTGTTTTCAGTCCCCAAAGCTGGTTGTATTCATTTGCTTTTCTGCTCAGGGATTCCATTCTTGAATCTATCTCTAAGTTGGTTCTCCCTGCAGCAGAACATAGGCCTGGACTTTAATAGAATGTTTCTGGCACATAGAAGGTAATCAACGTAGTCCCTTCTTTCTGCCACCTTCATCAGCAATTTTTAAATGTCCACTCTATCCAATGCCTAATAACATCCATGTTGCCACACCTCCTCCTCTGTAGTAGTCATGTGGCAAAGCTCACACCAGAAGATCCCTGTAGAGCAACCTGTCACAGGAAAGGTACTCAGTGGTAGTACCTAGTTCAAGCTATCCTCATACCTGTACACTGCATCTTTGTGGGTACCTGGACACTGACCATCATCACTCTGTTTGCCATTTGCTTCTTCCATCCATCTTCCAACCTAGCTAATTCGCACTCCCTTCTTCCATTCACCTTCTACTCCTCCAACAAGACTTTCCTTCCCTGGCCTCCCATTGCATCTTCAGTAATCAATCCTCATTACCTCTGAGAACTACATGGAAAAAACATGGAATTTCAGAAAATGACTATGGATTGAAGGATGGCTAGGTGGATGGATGGATGGATGGATGGATAGATAGATGGATGGATGGATGGATGGACGGATGGACGGACAGATGCCCCATCAGAATGTCCCAATCAATAAACAAATTTGCCAAAAGCTCAGTCTAAAGTACTATAAAGTTCCTCCTGTAAGATATAAGATTTCTCCAATCAGAGATGGTAGCTACATTTCTATTAGTGTGTAGGAGATGGTAACTGAGGCTCAGTTTCACAACATCATGACTACAGCATACAAAATGTATGCTCAGCATACACATGCCATTACTCACCAGAAACAATACTTCAGCCCCATAATTGGAAAGGGAATAACAAGGTCCAGCAGAAGGATCCCCCTTGAGAGTTTCAGCTACAAGTTTGAGATAGGATCCTTGGAAATAAGGCTCCTCACTAACTGTCACACATCATGAGATTCCAAACCTTGACACGTTTGGGAGGGAACAGTTTTCTGTGCATGGAAACTGAAGTTCACTCTTCTTAGATCCTTAACATAAATCATCTTCTTCCTGCCCATGTTTTCAGCCAGCAATGGGACTAAAAATCTCCACTTCTCAGCTTCCAAATATCTACTTCTGTTCTCATCATCCATAAAGCCTTCATAACTCTCTCTCCACCACCAGCCATTCATCAAGCAACATTTTTGGGTGTTTTTAAGATCACAGAGAAATAATTTAATTGAATTTTGGAGCACCATGAAATCTTTCTTTCAAAAACACTCATGCAACAAGAACAAAATAAAGTAATTGATTCAACCATTAAAGCCAGGTATCTTGCTGACTTTGATAAAAGAAATACTATACAATTTGGATAATAGTTTAAAGTGCCAAACAAGAAAAAGTCCTGCTCACTTCTTGCATGTTATTCCCACTGCTCTCCTCATCCACACAAAGCACATTTACTGATTGTCGTGTATCAGGCAGTCTGCTGGGCCCTGTGACATATAATTCCTGGAGCACAGCTGTTTTCCACATCAAGAGGAAACAGTGGCATAGAATACACAGTTATGCTACAGGATGAAAAATACAGTAAGAGCTATGACCAGAGTGCAACACAGACATGACAAAAAAGAAAAGAAAGTGTCCAAACAAATGAAGGAATCCTAAAAGGTTTCCCCGAGGAAATATCTGAAGGGTGACAGGGATTTACAAGAAAGCAGAGCCCACACTGCTAGAAGGGCATGCACAAAGGCAGATGGATGAATCAACATTTTTAAAACCACAGATCATTCATTGTGACTTAAGGATTGAGGATGATGAAGTTACAGAGATATATTTAGAAGTCAGATCATGAAATACTTTAGATACAAAGTGAGTGTAATTTGTCCTAAAAGCTTCAAGCTGGTAAAATGCTATACACAAGCAATGCCATAATCCAGTGTGTCTAGAAAACTTACTCTTTTGTAGCAGGGAAGGCAGAGAGCTGGTAAATGAGACTGGAGATAAATACTAAAGTAACTTTGGAGAGAAATGGCAAAGGCCTAATGGACCAAGACAATGGCTGTAGCACATGGTTGAGGGTCTGTCAACTTTGGATATAAGCATATACTTGTTGATGTAGCATCCCATCAGATGATATATGTAATAGTCAGCACTACCAATGACTTCCTTTGCACACGTATCTGATTTGGATAAGCCATGTCTTTAGTAATCAATGTGTTCAGAAGCCTGTGTTATCATACTATCCCATTCACTTACTAGCTGTGTTCCTTCCGGTGAGTCACCTGTTTTCTCTAGGACTTGTAGCTCTTACTTGTAAATTAAATCACAAAGCTTACCCGCTAATTTTGAATAATGATAAGTACATTAATATTGTTTAGTCAGATGTATTCTAAAACTTGCATCAGTTATTACCCACTATACCATATAAGGGATGTGCTAGATGCAAATGACAGAAACCCAGTCTAAAACTGGTTCAAAAGAAAGATAAGGGATGTTTTGGGAAGTATATGAAGAGACCTGGCTTTAGACACAGCTTGACCCAGATTCAAATGGTATCACCAAGATGGAACCCTTGGCTCTGTTCTTCCCATGAGGCTCCATTCCCAGACTCTTACTGTACCTTCCCTAAGGTATACATTATATCAGGTAATGATGTCTTTCAGTATGTTCTTCTATAAGCCTAGAAAATGCTTGCTTAATCTGTCTCTGTCCCTCTCTCTGTCTCTCTGTCTCTCTCTCTCTGTCTCTCTCTGTCTCTCTGTCTCTCTCTCTCTCTCTCTCTCTCTCTCTCTCTCTCTCTCTCTCTCTCTCGTTGGCCTCACTGGCCCAAACTGGAATACGTGACTATTGCTATGAAGAGAATAGAATTCATATTTTGATTTAAGTCTATTTCAAATACTCTATAACTGAGACATTTGAAAGAACAGAATTCAGGACTTGAGTTTGGTCCTGAGAATCCACATGATTCTGCATGCTTGTAACAGTGCATGTTTGTTATCCCAGTTCTCTCTCTCTCTCTCTCTCTCTCTCTCTCTCTCTCTCTCTCTCTCTCTCTCTCTCTCTCTCA